TTTCTTTGATTTTAAGATTCTATCGCAGTCTAACACTATCCGTGGATGCTCTTTTTTTCCTGCATGAACTATCATGCTAGTAGTAAATAAATAGCTAACTACACTTAGATTTATTTACATCTTTAATGAATTAAGCTACAATGCAGGTGACACATGTGTTAGTTCCTCTTTATTAATTTAAGAAAGATGATTTTGTGATGGTAAATGAAAAAGTAAAGGGATTGAAACTTCTCTCTCTTGAAAATCTGGATAAGTGTTAAGGATCGGGGCAACTTGCACATTAATGAGATTATAATCATGACCCTACCATTCTTGAGAAAAAGATTTTTGAACTTTTTCCTTACATATTCCCATATAAAATTTTAGTCTTCTGTTACCCTTTCCCTGTAGCCATGATTCGAATTAACTTGAATCAACATTATGTAAGGAAATTATCATGTAATAAAAGTTTCATCTTTTCTGTCCAAGTGGTTCTCTGAGAGATCCCAACAAATAATTAATATTCATTGTTAATTATCTCCCTCTGAAAAAGGTTGTACATGCATGTAGCTCTCGATTTGAACAAACTTGAATCCCCTTCACTAAAAGATTGCTTTGAGGCAAGTTGGTTGAAATTGGCCCCATGTTTTGGAGGAGAACTTGAAATTGTGAAAAAAGTTACAAACAACAAATGACACACATTTAGGCAGACAGACTGGGAGACAGACACATGACAATGACCCAAAGACTTGATCATAACAGGCAGTTTCCAAAAGACAGGCCATTAAACTAAACACAGACTAAATAAAACAAAAATAAATATTACTTCTGTGTGTATGATGAAACAATTATGTCAAAAACATTGACAAAAAACTTATTTCATATTCTACATGTTCTAAAGATGATGTTGCAATTAATATCTTTTCTCAATTAAGTTTAAAAAAGATAATTTTTCACTGTCCTTTTTAAATCAAGAAAATCTATTAGCTGAAAAGCATTTTCTTTCCTGCAATGCATACATACATAATTTTGTGCACATTGTGCCATATTCTAAAATAGACTTTGATGTTTCTCAGTACATACAGCAAAAGCTCTGTGTAATCTGTATAATTGAATTTTATAGTTTTTGTCAGGAACTTTCCAAATGCATCTGTGACATTTCATTTTTCAAACATATCTAAATAATGCCACATATGACATATTAATAAAGAAGACTGATTGTAAACTACAAAAACTTCTCTTCTGCAATATATTTTATTCAATCTGATTAAAATTAGATCTCGGATCTGTCCTACTTTCTTTTTTATTACTGTCACCATTAAATTCACCAATAAATACAAGAGGCCTAAGGGCCTTGAATCGCTCTTCTGATAAATTGTACAACCTATCACTTCTATTTGAAGCATCTAAGTATCCTGTACATTTAGATAAAGCCCTGAAATTCCAAAAGTAGGTCATCATGACCTACATATTGGTTAAAACACTCTGAGAACCCAAGATGAATCAACCAAAAGTAGGTCACTGTGACCTACTTTTTAGTTGACACATTCTGAGGACTCAAATACATCAACTGACAAAGTTTGATGATTCTAAGCAATTAGTACCTGAAAATATTTAAATATAGCTATAAAACTTCAAAAGTAAGTCATGATGATCTACTTTTCAGCTGATATACTTCGAGGACTCAAGATGCATCAACTGACAATGTTTGATGAATCTAAGTCAATTAGTACCTGAAAATATTAAAATATAGCTATAAAAAACTTCAAAAGTAGGCCAAGGTGACCTTAACTTTTCAGTTGATATTCTCCGAGGACCCAAGATGCATAAACTGGCAAAGTTTGATGATCATAGGCCTTAAAGTGTCCAAAATATGCCTCTAAAACAATTCGAAAATGAATGCCTGAAAAATTCAAAAAGTAGGTCACTGTGACCTACTTTTTGATAAATATGTTTGAAGGCCCCAAGATACATCATCTTACGAGGTTTGATGATTCTAAACTTCTCAGTATCTGAAATAATGACCTTCAATGTTTTGAAAAAGATTAGCCATCAAATTCAATTAGTAGGTCAGGGTGACCTCCTTTTCAGTTGACATATGCCTTAAAGTGTCCAAAATATGCCTTTAAATCAATCTAAAAATGAATGCTTGCAAAATTCAAAAAGTAGGTCACTGTGACCTACTTTTGAGTCAACATGACTTGAGGTCCTAAGATGCATCAATTGACAAGATTTGATGATCCTAGTCCTTATAATAAGCAAACTATCAAAGTTTTAACAAAACATAATTTTTGGCCAACTTTGAAGTGACCTTGAGACCACGCCCTTTGTCCAGGGTGATGCCTTGAAGAATATTTAATCTACAACATATCCTCATCCTTGTGTGTTTGGTGATAATCTGCTCAGTGGTTCTTGCAGGAAGAAGATATTTTAGCAACCAGTTTTCTTTATTGTCTCCCCTTGTTTAAGGGTCACATCCCTAGTTTTAGTATAAACGAGAGCCCTTGATCCAAGGATACTATGAGACAAATTTGACAAAAATTGGCTAAGGGGTTCATGAGATATGGACCATATTCTAAAAAGTTTACGGACACTGCACAAATCGCCATAGCATTAGCTCTTTCAGCCTTTGGTTCAGAAGAGCTAATAACAACAAATTAAGAATTTTAAGGAGCAGATTAAGGATCTAATTTTAATCAGACTGATAATTATAATATTTCTTTATATACTAAGAATTTTCATTACATTTTAACAGTGAAATACTGTAATTTAAAATATTACTTTCACAGTGTGAATTTATAACAAGAGTGTTGTGAAATTAATAAGTTTGTAGTGAAAACTCAATTTTCCTTTCCTTAATCAAAAAGTGTTATAGAAAATAAAAAAAAACTCTACAGAAAGTGAATAAATCATGCTGACACTGACTAAAACAGCCAAAGAATTTCTCAAAATTGTTCTTAAAAAAAATCTATGTTTACAATTTTCATACAGGTAATAAAAATCAGTGTATATAGAGGATATTCAATATTTTGTAGTTGTAATACATACATGTAATAACTATTCTCTTATATACAGTAACACTTTACTCTGTACCTTGGATTTTTCTCATGCCACATGTATGGACTCTGTATAATTATGATATAATATCACATATAGAATCAGAAATCTAAAGGTTATTGCCAACAAAATAAGTAAATTTGGTATTAAATTATCCACTTCCTCTCTTTATACTGCATTGGTGGCCCAATTTTCTCTTCATTTTCACAATTTATTATTAAGACCATATACAGAATGTTGATAGTACCAATTAAGATGAAACTTCCCATCTCTGACCTACATTGTAGATTAACTTCATCACAAACCTTTTTCTAAATAGACATTGAATGAGAAATCATTTTTTGGCCAGATACCATTCTGAAATCTTCACTGACTATGAACTTCAAAATTTGGCCTCATTATCCAGGAATCACACTGAACTAGAAAAGCTGACATTTTGCAGTGTCTTGCAGTGTGAATAAATTTTGACCTTATAATCTTATATGCTCAAGTTTTTTAGTCATATAAAAGTGTGTTCATGAGCCATCAATTTTTTTTTTCTGATCCAACTAGCCTAAATTTTTTTTATAAGAGTGTTCCTCTTAAAACACTGTTTGCCTATCTTTTATAAAAAGAATTCTTTCTTGAAAAATACCTGTATCATTGCATCACAAATCTGCTAATGGTCAATAATTTTAATTTAATTAAAACAATCTTTGACCTTTGATTAATTAAGTGACCCCAAATCTACACCTAACTTTCACTAAGCATCTTTCACCTACTTAATAAAGTCTGTAGATTAACAAATATCCAAGTTACTGAATTTCAAAAATATGAAACATGACATACGTGTCAAGTGTATCTGTGGGCTATCAGCTTACATAACTGTGCAATGGACATATCAGTAACCTTGACCTTTGACAGTTAACCTAAATCAAAAGCTTTTCCATTGAGCATTCTCTCCTCATGTAGGTAATTATTGCATAGATAGATGTGTAATGGTAATAGCAATAACATATTTATTTTACCTTGACATTTGACCAAGTGATCTTAAACAGATGTTTTTCTCCAACCATCCATAACCTATATGGTACTGAGAAGATGCTTATGATACTGTAGCTCAACTAGTTTGTACTTATACAATAAATGAAGAGAAAAGCAGCACCTAGATTTAAACTTAAAATTTGTATGACTTTAAAATTTTCTTTGAAACTTATTTAACACAAATTTAAGAAAAGTGAAGTCAAGGTCAAAGGAAAGGTCAAGGTCAAAAAAGTTGATGAAGTTGAATAGTTCTCATCAGTATGTATTAGCATACATGATTTGAGCAAACTTGAATCTGCAATACCTGAAGATGATTCCATATCAATATGACTAAACAAGGCTTTGCTGTTCTTGAGAAGATTTTTGAAGATTTTTTTTCTTATATATTTCTATGTAAAATTTCGATCCTCCATTGTGGCCCAACCCTACCCCCAAAGGTCATGATTTAAACAAATTTGAATCTACACTATGTAACGAATATTTCACATGAGTTTCAACTTTTCTGGTCCAGTGGTTGTTGAGAAGAAGATTTTTAAAAGATAACACCAAATTTTAACCAATTCTCAATTATGTCCCCTTGAAAGAGGATGTGGCCCTTCACTTGATCAAACTTGAATCCCCTTCATCTAATAATGCTTTTAGACAACTTTGGTTGAAATTGTCCCAGTAGTTCCGGAGATGTCAAAAATGTGAAAACTTTACAGACAGACAGACACCACGGACAAAATGTGATCAGAAAAGTTCACGAGCTTTCAGCTCAGGTGACCTAAAAAAGTAAAAGTGGTGAAAATGTGAATTTTTTTTTACTAAAAAGTAAAATTTTGTGAAAACCCTGCTTGCCCCCCCCTCCCCCCCCCCCCCCCCCTTTTACACACACACACACACCAAACACACACACAAATTTGTCTCACTTTTTCCCATAAAAACAATATCAAACCAACCTCCATCTTGAAACATAAATCCAAGACTATCCTGTGTAGTATACAGAAGAATGAACACTGTACAAAGCCCAGACAACAGCAGCATGGTAAAAACTTCATCAATTTACATGGTTAGGACAGATTTTTCACTCTAAAATAGAAAAAAAAATCAATCTTTATAGTACAGCATCAATCAATCATTTTCTGAATTTTTGTCCAATTATGATACAATATGCTGTAGTGATTTCAAGGCAATTATGTTGTTTTGTAGTTCTAGGTCTATTAGTATCATGTGAATTAATTTAACTAAATTATGGAGGTATCTATAAAAATGTAACTGCAATGAGTTACTAAAATGATATGGCCTGCTATTTTACATATTTTGACAATTTGATGTTTAATAGTCAAAAATAAATTTGAAATTTTCAGAATCACTATATCTTAATTTGACTAAAAAGAAAAACACATTTAATATATTATACATGTATATGGCAAGTACTTTTACATGTATCTATCAAAATATATCCAAAGTTATGGACAATATCACTTCAAAATAAATCAATTTGGAACATTTTTGAAGTTGTCCCGTCTTCTATTAATTGCAGATTATTTATTAAATTTACAACAGATCTTATACACTTATGAAATGTTGTCTTGATAAATCCTAAATTTTAAACAAGTTTCTGTAAAAAATAACATAAGATCATTTAAACCTAATATATTCTACGAGATTGTGCATGTAAAGATTATTTTATGTATGCAACATTGGTGTATTGTCTGTAAAACAGTAATAAATTATTTACGCAGTATCAGTAGTGTTTCTGATTAGCCTTACAACTACTCGTCATTTTACTGCAATCTAGCGGAAACTAACTCAGACCAATTAAATTACTTTGACATATGTGTTCTCAATTTATAGTGCCATATTGGCCTGTGCAAATGACAAAAATGTAAGTTATGAGAGTTGAAACTTAAATTTTGATATGTCATTCGAAGTATGAATTCAAAGTGTATCTGCATGGGTATACAATTTATTTTAAATCAGAATTTGAATTACATACTTTGATCATGATGTGTTTTGTTGACATCCATTGAAATGGAGCAATTAGAAAGCTAAAATATTTGTGTGATGTTGATGGAGCATAATTTAAAATGGAAAGAAATTTAAAAAATATAATTAAGATAACACACATCAAATCTTATTATCTTTAAAACACTGACACAACAAATCCTATTATCTATAGACTATTATGAAATAGTAAAACTGAAAACAGACATATTTTTCATTTGAAGGAAATTATTGTCTTTATTTTTACAATATTTCTAACCTGATAATAAGCAAAATAAAAACAATATTCGCAAAAATGTACGTTTCTTTATTTTTTCTGTATTAATCAGGACAAAGAATTACATATAGTCTAAAAATTCGAAAGTAAACATTTTCCTTATATCTAATTACAAAGTCTATGTAAAATGTCACATAAATATTGCACATAAATAACAAACAAAAACTGCTAAAAAAGGGGGGATGATTACTTCAAATTATTGAATTTTATAAATTTTCTTATCTGCATTCTTGTAAAAAGGATTGAATGAAAAAAATCAAGCTATGATTTATTTGAAAGGAAATATTTGATTTATGGATATAATACCCACCACCACTCTTTCAGTTAATTTCCACCATTTAATTCTGTAGTTAATTGTTTTAAATGCTTACTGCTTGTGAAGCTTCATTGAAACACTAATATATTAACCAAAACACCTAGAATATATCTACTTTTTCAATAATTAATAAATAATATATAAAATGCATGTTACAAGGGTTTTTTTCTGTTCGAGCAATAAACATGTAATGTAAACAAGTATCATATAAAATCATATAAAGACACATTCCTTCTGTGTCTATAATAGTAACAATTTCAAAGAGAAAAACTATGATGTCAATAATTTGATATTTCTTGCAAGCAATAAAAAGGGAAAGTATTCAATTTTGTCCCTTTTCTCTGCATGCATCCAACATACACAGCCATTATTTTTTACCCAAACCTTGGTAGTCCGTCCCCCCCCCCCCCTCCCCCCTCTATATTCTAAGGGACTACATTTCCTATGAATGATGATACAGAGTCGTAGCATATAACATAGTAAAGATCCTGTTTCTCTCCATATTTTTGCTTTTGATTGTGACATTCAATGTCTATAAATATTAATCATATATCAATTAAATAACTTTTTTAATACAAATCCAGATTCGAGAATTTAAAAAATGCTTCTTCAGTTAAAAGGGTTGACCTCACATTCATGTTATCATATACAGTGTATTATCAATGCATTTTTAAGTGCATGTACATCATTGATATTTTACCCATTCTTTCTAAAAAAAAAATAAATAATAAATATGCAATTTCATTAACAAATACTTTCTTTAATGATTATTGTTCAAATTATATTGTTTAAATTCCTTCTTTTTTTTTTTTAGGTGAAATGTAGTCGGCACAATTACATTTCATTATGTACGTGTCATTTCAGCAAATTAAGCTTCAAGATCATTTCAGTATTGAGATGGCAACATCAAAATTCAATCATTTATATATCAATTTTTTTTTAAGTTTGTGTCATGCATATGCATGAAGGTTGCAATATTCAGATAATATATCTCAAATGTACATGGGACAACAAATTCAAGAAATACTAAATGATTTCAATTAATTAGCTTTTTCTCAATTCAAATGAAAACTATACAGTCAACAGTCAGCAAATAAATATTGATTTCTGTTATAAAATATGATTTTCTTTCTTTTTCAGCTGGGCCAACCCTGATGGCAGTATATTGAAAATATATCTAACCCATTGAAGTTGTTTCTTTATATCAAATTAAAGAAAGTTAATTAGAAAAGGTTATCCAAAATAGGATAAATCTGTGCAATTACATGTATTATTCAATTTACCAATCTTTTTAATGAAGTTAATTGTCAGTGACAAGATAAACTTTTGATGGTATAATTAAAAAAAATATATATATATCCAAAGTTAGGGACTAACAACATGTTTATGTTAAGGACAGATCACTTTTTAAAAAAAAATTATGAAAATATTTCAATGTTATACACAGCTAGGAGTCGGCATACTCACAATTTTTTATGTAACGATCAGTAAATTAAAAATTCGTAATACCTATAATAATAAGTTTAGCCCCATAAAGTTTCATTTTTCATTCAAAGTTTCTCAATAATGTCCTCTAATTAAGTGATAAAAAATTATATAGATTTATTAGGGTGATTTTTGGCAAAAAGGAAGAAATTTGAGCATGATATCATAGAAAGTATGTGATCTACAATTTCTTAATATTTTAGAGATTTTATATAATTGCATCATTGAAACCAAAATAACCCAATAAATACATACTAATCTAATGCAACTATATTTTGGAATCATGTATACTAAAACCAAAACTTAAAATTCCCCCCTTTAAATAATAATAAATTAATGCATCATTACGTAAATGCAAGGCTAATGGCCCATACAAAGAACAGAAGAAAAAAATCGATCAAATTATATAAAGTAAAAGACTATATACATGCACTTTGATTATATAGTTTAAAATTTAAATAAAAATTAAAAGTACATACCACGTTTCATCAATTATTCACCTAGATAACTTGAGTCTGGACAGTCACAGAAATAAAACGCTTTTAACACAATTTTAAACCATACAGCAAACAGTCACAATTTAATCAGATTAAAAATTTGTCAATCACAAATTTCTATCAATTTTCCCTCTCAATATATTTTAAGTACTTTCCAATACACTGTTAACAATCACTTGAACTGATCATCCAATTCTGACTGCGGCTACTGAAATTCAATTTATTCCACCTATTTGATCGGCAGCATGAATATCTACAGAGCAATCAGATATGTAAACACTGGAACACCTACCTGCGGTGTCACCCACTGGGATAATTAAATGATCCACTTTCTGTTTTCAACAACTACTTTGATCAGTTCTTCCAAAGTAACACTTCCTAACACAAAAGAGGTATTACATACCCTCTTAGAATACCAGCATTTTCAGGTGTTAGTCCCCTTAATCCTGAATCTATGTAACAATTTCTAGTTATGTCACACAATAAACGAGATTCCAACAACGTCTGTTCACAGAGAGTGAAATGCTTACAAGAATTAAGCACAATGAAGCATGACTAGTAGACCTTGTGAATATTATAATTACACACCTGAAATATTTTATTCTGTCTGTCTGTAAAGTTTTATTTCACACACTGACTGATACACAGTTGAGACCTGATAGTTGAACTGCATGGTCTTTAATGACCACCCATTGCCCCTGTTAGTGACCACTGGACAGGTAAATTGGCCAGAATGATTACTTTAATCACCTGTCTAATGGTCTGGTTAACACAAATCAATGCACATTCTTGGTCCCTGTGGAACTTCACCTATTTCTGGTCATGTTCTCAGAAATTCTGACACTACCTGAATTGACCCAGAGGTGATCAATGAATGCGATGATGATGAAAAGTCATGACTCTTGAACTAATGCCAGTTTATGACGGAATAACTGCAGGCGCGGATCCAGGATTTGAAGTTAGAGGGGGCACAAAAAGTAGGCAGGGGGTCTGGGGGCCGCCTTGAGGCCCCCAGTGGCTCCAGGGCGAAGCCCTGGTGGGGGTCCAGGGGGTGAAGCCCCTGGAAGCTCCTGGATTCTAGAGATTTTGTAGGGTAAAAATGAGGTCTACCAAGTAGAAATTTTTACATTTTCTCGACGAAACTATGATTTACGCTAACTTTGACAATTTTAGGGGGGCGCGCGCCGGGTGCACCCCCCCTTAAATCCGCCACTGAACTGTGTCCAAAATCTTTAAATAAATGTGTACACAGGTTAATCACACTGGTACATTAAAAATTCTGACATTTATGGTTAAAATGATCGAGGATTAAATATTTAAATGAGTGGAATTTTTCATATTAGAATAATTAACTTATAATTAATGAATAGAAATTTCAATCATCAGTTTTGAAACATCTGTGGCACTGATAAACTTGTAATGAAAATCAACATTTTTATTTTATTTATTTTTTTTTTTTACCTGTAATTATTGTTGCTCAAATAGACGAGAATAGAATAAATAGAAGATACTTTTTTTCTTGGGAAAAAATCACTTTCCATGACGTAATAATTTAAACCCTAAATAGCTAGGTCATAAAAATAACAACACCTACCCAGTTTGTGCTATTTACATCCACAAATTCAAAACACTCTAATTCAAATGGCAAAGTTTTAAAGTTAAATCATGACAACTTAAAGCTGCAGGGTAAAATCAATTCATGTATGAAAACTGCTGCAAGATATAATTCTGATCACTTCATACTCATGAACAGATTCTGACAGCAAATGAGAAACACAAACTACAGGGTAATATCTTGTACAAATAAACTACTAAAAACATGGTAGAGAAAGTTTGTTTTCTATTAACTTTTGTTAATCCCCCACAAAAGTTGAGTAATACTTAAACATTAGGAAGTGTAAACATATTGTTTGTCTATTCTTAACAAAACATTACACAATACAAGAACACCTTTCAGCAGTCCAAAATCATTCTTTGAAGTCATTTATTGCTTTTCTTTCGAGGGAATGTTAACCCTATAGTGATTCATTTATGCACAGTGTCATAATTTTCAGAAATATTGGGTAGTTTATTGATCATTAAAAAATTGAAGTTCTGAAATATTTTAAAAGAAGTATAATTCTATTTCTTACTTTCAATAAACTGATCCTACAGGTATTTTACAATCAAAGTACATACTTTATTTCAAAAAGCAATTAATTTATGAACCCATGTGACTTGATAATTACATGTAATTCATATTTTCAGCTTGCAGCTTATAATGTTGAGTCCTAGAGTTCTATCAGATAACTCTGATTTTTCTGCAGTCTCAATGAGTTGATCGAGATATATAGTCCTTCTAAAAATTAGACTTTGTAAGCTAAGTTCCATATTTTTTTTTGGTTTTGTTTTTTTTTTCTTCTCATCTATATGAATTATGAAGTTTTTTTTTTTTCATGAAGCATATCTCAAATAAAAATGGCTGTAATTTTAATTTGTCTTGTTTACGAAAGTCCTGACATTAAGTCAAAAGTCTTAGGAAATGGGAATATCATAAAAATAAGTAACTCCTGACTTTACAATGAAATGTCCTGACAAGATTTGGATTTGAAATGTTTAACAAAGAAGTCCTGGGAAATCCCAGGAAGTCCTGAATTCAAATCCCAGGATTATTAATCTTAGGTTTACCTCAAATCAGACTGTGAGGAAATCCTAGGAATTCTTGGGACATCTTAGGAATTCCTGAGAAGTACACGTATTTCAAAGTCAGGAATGATTTCTGCAAGGGATGTTCTTCATCATCAAAGATGAAGATTAATTCTCAAAATAATTAATTTAAAATAAATGAACTGGAACTCTCATCAAGAAAATTACTCATACTGGGTATAAAGACCTAAAATATGTACCATGAAATAATTGAAACAAAGTATAAATTTCCAAGAATTTAGAATTTAGTACAATGAAACCCAAAATCATGTAAATTTTATCCATTTAAATCTATTTCACAGCTGAGAAAAGAGAAATATGAAATATAAAGATGAACCAGTTAGATCAAATGAAATCCAGAGAAAGCACTGAAGCATGTAAAATAAACCACGCAAGTCATGTTCCTCCATAAATTGTCTATATCTTGTAATCAGATAGATTAACTACGATAATTTTTAAGAGTATGTGTATATTCATTTTTCATGATAATTTTATTGTTATTCTTTACATAAACATATAGCTAAGACTTATTATAACTATATATATAATTTAAACTTCTGAATTGATGACATTTTGTCAAATAAATGTTTTTGCATAGGAAACTCATCATTTTACAACTTTCGCTACAATTCTGCCATGTGGTAAACAAGTAAATGCCTGAAGCTTTATAATGATCATAAATCTTCAATGAAAGCATAGACCACAAAAACAAAACATATATTTAAAATCAAATAAAGTAATTTATTAATGGGATTATTTGAGGCCATAATTGGCTTTAGCTAGCAAATTTAGAAAACAACAAATCCACTTTAGATCATGTTTTGCTGCATGGATTCTACATCCTTGAATTAAAAAATCAGTGAAAAACCAATATTAAAGTTAATTGTAAACTAAATTTTCTTGTTGCACTCAGTTGAGGCCAAAATTTTAGAGAGAACAAAATATGAGGCTAAGTCAATATTCTAAACTCACCAAACATTTGAATTTAATCTAAATCTGACACCAAAAGTGAAACTTAAGTCCAAATTTATGCCATATGGCAGGCCAATTGTCACCAAGCCACCAGCAGACATGTTTACGAAGCTATCTTAGAACTAAGAATCATCTTAAGATACGCTTAGGACTCTTATAATAAGAAAAAATGACCATGTTCATATTGCTGGTGGCCTGTTGAAATCGCGGTATATAGACTTGATAAAGTGTTCAGGGACGTTGAGACCAAATATTGCAAAATAATATGTGAAGAAAATGAATGGAAACTGTTGGTGGACTGACGGACGGACAGACAGCAGCAAAGCAATATGCCTTCTTTTCTTCGAAGGAGGGCATAATTAAATGAATCCAACAAATTACGAATTCTTAATTATCTCCTCTTGAAAGAGAGAGTGGCTCTTTACAAGCTCAAATCCCATTCACCAAAGGATGCATTGGGCAAGAGTCTGGTTGTAATTAGGCCAGTGGTTCAAGCAAAGAAGCAGAAAATTAATATAGGATCTCCCATGGTTTGTAGTTGGATATGATTTTTTTTATCCAAGTTGTGTTTTTATCCTCGAGCCTCTGCGAGAGGATAAAAGCACATAACGAGGGAGACTCTTTTTATCACGTTTAAAATGTAGCTATTCATGTTTTATACCGTTTTTTAGATGTAAATCAACAATATTTTACTTGATCAAATCCACGCAAAAACCATTGTGACGTCACAACCGTGGATATGAAAACAATATCCTATGATATTGCAACGTATGGTTAACATATGTTGAACATACGTTGAACATATGTTCTGAAACATATGTTCGCCATAAAAAACGAGCAACATATGTTTTACATATGTTTATGAACATATGTTGATCATATGTTTAACATATGTTGCTTATATGTTTTGCATGAACATATGGTTAACATATGTTTATGTTCATATGTTTTTCATATGTTAAACGTATGTTAATTTTATTTCTTACTTACATTTATTATTTAATTATTTTGTATTTCTTTGGATTGCAAACTTAACTAAATAGTTATACGTACTCTTGTCCTTTAATCACTTAATACACTGTAATAAGAAATCAAAGAACACAATCTCAAGCATTAATCTTGAGTTTATTTTTTCATATTTTTACATAATTCTGGCTTTATTTCCATGACAGTGACTGCATTGCTTCTGAAATGATAAAGAAAAAATAATAAAAATTAAGACATCCAAATTTCATGTCAATTACATGTATAATTAATAAATATATACCAGTATTTGTTAGCACATAGAGTAATTACTTTGAGCACTTACAAATTTTTTCTTGGCCTGTTCTTTGTTTTCTTTCATTTTATAACCCCTTGGAGCCTCATCATAGGATTTGAAATTGTCACATGTTAAGGTACTGGGTGCACTTCAGTGGAGTCTCCAATTTTAAGGTTCTGTTGATTAATACAGGTTTTCTAAAATACATGTACAAATTAAAGTCTACATGTAATTTAAGTTCATACACTGAAGATATTTGTCATATACATGTGCAAACAAATGCATACCCCATTCTCCTAAACAGTTATCAGTTATGATATGAGTTAAAACTTATTTCATAAAGAATTATATGGTGTTGTGTAACACCATATAATGTTATGTCCAAGACAATTTCACTCTGGGAAGATATGCTTAATAATAAAATCATAAAAAATACAATTAGTTTCTCTAAATGTATACAAATGAATTTGGAATGTTGAAATAATATAATATATTAATATTAAATCAATGGATAATCAGATACAAATGTATGTTTGGATATAATAAAAATACAGGCAGAGAAATAGACATTTTGTTTCCAGTATATCCAAAAACTTTGTTTGGAAGAAAACAACAAAGCTTGTAATACAGGGTGTACTTACCTATTCTGAAGCAAGCATAGGGTTGTGGTGTTCTTCCATGTTATTCATAGCAGACAGACTGTATACTGAACCTATAAAAATTATAAAATAAATACAGTAAATATTTTCTAATCAAATTCCAATCAAAACTTAAAAGAAACTTCGAAAGAGAGTGAGTACAAGTCTCTAGTTTCTCTAGTGTTAAAAAAAATTCTATGTCAATTAATATATAAATAAGTAATAAATTAGCTGATGAACTTTAAATACATTTACATGTACACTATTATCTTGAATGCCAGATTAGGCTGAAATTGATCATCTTTCAGATGTTCTATAGTCACCAAATGGTCATTTATCCCCCGTTTGGTGGACAATCTCCCATATCGGAAACGACTTTTACTGACCAAATGGTGGACTTTTTAAATTCTATTCCAAATTTTATTAAAATAAAGTAAAAGCGCATTTGCATAGGCATTGGGGAATTTTAGTGAACATATTCCTTGCACAATTGAAATAATTCGGTCGATTTTCCATGTGCAATTTCTCCATAACTTCGTAAAAACGATACCCATAGTTATCCGTAACAGCCGAACTTCTTGATCAATCGATCAAAAAAAAAATGTTGATTGTGTCTAGTAGGATAAAAATTCTATTTTATCCAGTGGTTTAACTCTTGATTAGTTAACTCTCAATCGCTCTTTGGATCTTTGTCAATATTTATCTCTATAAAATCCCGTTAAACATGAGCTCCTCATTACTTAACTGGTATGGTGGGCACTTATTGCTATAAAGTTAAATTTTTAGACTTGAACGTAATATCTTTTGTTATTTTTCTTTTAGGATGAAGTTCCATATTCCATGTGACCTTTTGTGGTTTAATATGTATGTTACTGATGAATTTTAATATATTTGATAAATAATTTTTAATAAATGATTTACAAGGTGACTTTTACAATTATTCTTGTTTTTGTTAAAAGTACATTGTTTTAAAACAATAATTATATCATAATCTAACTTCATTTACTATTTTTATAAATAACAAAGCCATCACGTACAAAATAAAACGAAATAAAGGCGAAAACTTATTTTTCTTTTGATTTCCTAATTGAAAATTAACACAAATGTGCTCCGTAGTTAAATCCGACTTTTGACCAGGTTAAAAAAAGATCATCGTTTGCATTGGTTTGCATTTTTGATTGGTTGCCCGGATAATCGAAATAGAAAGTTACGAACATGATTGACAGGTGCAGCATCGTTGGATAAGGAGGGAATTTTCTTTTTAAGTAAAAATTGAGAAACGTTGCACTTGTTTACGTACGTGACATTTTTTGTCAAATTTTTGAACGACTCTGCGCAAAAAATTACACATTGAATTTCCGATTTTTTTCACTCAGAACACCGATAAATATCTAAATTTTATTCCACATGGTTTAAAATTATACGCCATTCCACGCCATTCTATAGAATTGAACACAACCATTTTTCTGTCCCAAATGGTCAGTAAAATTCGTCTGCGATATGGGAGATTGTCCACCAAACGGGGGATAAATGACCATTTGGTGGGGTGTGCCCAACCTGTTAAAAGCCAGCAAGTTCTATCCATATTCATATCTTCAATATTTTAGCCACAAAAAAAAAAAAGACAGTATAATTTTTTGGTAATGCAAATCAGTGTAGAATTAAGAAGCAAACAGAAATTTCTCAAAAACTATTTTGTTATTAAATAGTCATTACTTATATGCACCCTGTAATTACTGTGATTATTATATGTATTTATTTTCACCTGTATTGTGATCGTGCAATCTTCAGTCAAATCAACTTTGGGTTGAATCGTCAGTCTTAACAGCTTTGGGTTCTTTCAATAAAACGGCACTCAGACAATGAACTCCAGTTGCTTAATACACAATAAAAACAAACATTTTCCATTAAAAATTTGATAAAAGAGCCGAGTGGATAACCATCTAACACAGGCTACACAAACTGCAATGCAAGATTTCTACTTTCACTTTCATCAAGATCGTACATAAATATGCAAACGTAACTGTCGACAAAAGGAAAACAAATCTGAAAAAATTAGCAATGCTAAATAGTTTTTACATTCGTCGAAAACAAATCCAAAATAATGTATCATGTAGGCCTAGATAAGATCACTAGATGTGTCGTTTTTTACGAACTGCATTAATTACAACTACAGTTAGATGTTATGCAAGTCACGAGAGTACTAAGAGTTCGTATGAATCTATAACCGTAAAGAAATTCTCTTAAAACACCATAAACTAATTAAATTCTAAAAAAAAAAACAAAAAAAACAAAAACAAAACTGATAGCACTTACTTGTTTCTTCTGCTGCAGCAGTGACGTCAAAAATGACGTAGTACACTTTCATCCGATAAAAACCAAAACCGGTCCGGAAATAAAATGTGGAATGATTTTAATTTCATAAAATAAATCCAAACAAAACGGGGTAAATACAAATTTATTAATTCTTGATAAACTTGATTTGGGGAATATCATGTTCAACAAGACAATTTTGAATTTGAAGAAAAGAGGGGGCTGAATTTGGAGAAACGAGTGGGGGAGGGGGTGCAGGGTAACAGAGTAGTTAACCCCTCCCCCTTTTTTATGTAAGCTTCTACAAGAAATGACCATTCTTTTGAATAAATGTATTCAAATTGATCTTGATACTTGTTATTGAAATTATTTAATTTAACAATTGCAGTCTATTTGCATTGGCGGATCCAGAATGGGGGGGGGGGGTCCGGAGGTCGGTACGGGCTTGAAGTGCCTATGGTGCGATTCTATGCATGTGTGTTGGGGCACCGGCCTGGAACCCACCCCCCTTCAAAACTTGCTGGATCCGCCCCTGACATGTTAAAATATAACATTTAACTCGAGTTCTTCATATTACGCTTATTTATTAAATTATTGCCAGTTCACTGATTAACATTAAATTAATTAACATATTTTTTATGTCGTTAAATTTAAATAAAATTAATTCAATTAACGATAACATTAATTTAATATTAAATGAAATAAATGTGAAAAGGCGATTGGTTATTATATGATCTTCAGTATGAATTTTATGTGAAACTAAAACATATATGTAGAACATATGTTTGAAACAACCATATGTTTAAAATATGTTCAACATATGTTAAACATATAGTTACCACAAACATATGTTCAACATATTTTGAGTCTGCTATATGTTCAACATATATTTCAAACATATATTCAACATATGTTTTAAACATATGTTCAACATACTGTCAAAAATTCATATGGTCAACATATGTACAACGTATGTTCAACATATGTTACTTGAAACATGTGTTGAACATACGTTGTAATTTTACCTGTGATATATAAAGGACTAAACATGTGTCTGATAAAAAAGTTTGCAAGACAGAAAAAGATGGATGCCCACTAAGAATCTTTAGTATGGTTTAATAAAATTAGGAATTCAAATCTGAAACAACACTATACAGTAAAAATGCTTCGACCATATCTCTAAGCACAGTTGCTACATCCATACTTCATCGTTTTGTGAAAGTGGTGACACAAAATATAGGTTAATGATTTCCCCAGGATAATTCACTGACAATGATATTCAATCAATATATATATCTACTGATCTCACAGTCTCCAAACGCCAGCTCGTACTATATTGTGTCCTGTCATAAATTTTGCCAGTATTAGTTGGAAATTTAAAAAAAATTAAAATCAAAACTAAAGCAGAGGAACTGTGAGCACTTAGCTCATAAAATGATACCCCCCCCCCCCAAAAAAAAAAATAAAATCAAAATTAAAACAGAGGAACTGTGAGCACTTAGTTAGCTCATAAAATGATATCCCCACCTCCCATATGTTTATGATGGCAAAGTCCATGTTTTGCTATGGGAGACCTAAAATAAGTGTCCCATCAAAAAGTAAAATAGGAGGTGCACAATGGCACTATCTAATAAAGATTCTGTAACAGTATCATCAAATTTTATTCATGGGTATAGGAAGAGTCGCAGATATGAGAGATGGGTACCCCTCAATATTAGAGAAAGAATGGCAGTGTTCTATATGTTGTACTATTGTAAAACTGAAATAAATATAACCTATCCAAAAATAAAATAAGAGGTGCACAATGGCACTATGTAACAAAGATTCTGTGAAAGTCTCATTTATTTATATTCAGTGCTATAAGAGAAGTTGCGGATAGGAGATATGCACCCCAAAGCGTAACAGACAGGCAGATGTACTTACCAACAGACGGATGGATGGAAACCCCCATCATTTTTCAAGTGGGGGCCATAATAATCATAGAACTTCACTCTCAGTTTCATAATTTTTGCTTCCAAGGTTTGGTCAAAGATTTGGTCAGACTAACAGTTATGATGGTATAGCAGAAAAATTCTCTCAAGAAATAATAAAAATATTGATTCCTTTTGATGCTAAATCTTGTCTTTTAAGTTATAGCTACATTTCCTGCTTTAAACAAGAAGTGTTTTTGTTGGTACCCAAAGGAAGGTCTTGTCACAAGGAATCAACAGTTGAAATATGACAGCCATAGTTCCAACCAATCAAAAGTTATGGGCAAGCTTAAAGTTTTTGTGGACAAACAGACAGAGCAAAAACTAATTGTACCCCCAATCTTTGATTATGGGGGCATAAAAATGAGCAATTCTGAGATTATTCCCCATTTTCAGAGCATTTGTTCTCAACGTGCTGCATTTTGAAAATTCAACATGTCTATAAATGCAAGTTTTCTTCTCATTTTCTGCAAGCAGTATATCTTAGACATATAAACCCCAAATGTCTGTCCATCTGTCACCCTTATATCTCCAGAACTGTAAGAGATATAGATTTGATATTTTGCACATACATTGCTTGGCACTATGGCTTTTGTAAATTACCATGGTTACTGACCTTGTATCTCCTGACCTTGACCTACTTTTTAAAATAGTTCATAGTTCCAATATACAGCAAATTTTTGACACTTAAGTGGTAAGTCTATGCTATTTAACATGTGCACTGTCATAAAAAATTATGAAAAATACCAGCATTACAATACACTTGACCTTGATCTACTTAGCAAAAAATATCCAGGGCAGTTTAACTTATGACTTTTGAATTTTGAAAGGCAGGCTTCTGACAATTAGCATTTATACATGTTTATGAGCTCATGAAAATATACTTTGAAAATAGATGATATTCAGTTACCACATAGAAACTTGTATTTTAATAAATACTTTCAAAATACATCGGGATCGGGATCCTACAATGGATCGTGTAGAGTGACAACTGCAGTAAAGACTGACTGAAATTTCTTTTGGGGGATTGTTGGAAACACATTTTAATAAAATGATAAATATTTATTTATATAAATAATTCCAATTTAATTATTCATTTGAGGGTTGGAGAATCATATAATCTTTGATTGTCTGATTCTATCGCAGTCTTATACTATCCATGGATGCTTTTTTTTTTCATAAACTATCATGCTAGTAGTGAATAAATAGCTGACCACTCTTAGATTTATTTACATCTTTGATGAAGCTACAAAGCAGGCAATTAACACATGCATTCCTTGGAACACTCTAGTTAGTTAAAGAGATATCCCACTTTAAGTTACACCATGTGCCCACCATATGTATCAGACACTACAGTTCAAGCATGTTACATCCTAAACAATTTCAAGTCTAGTAATGTCCATCCCAAGATGCATTTCCATTTAAGATTGGTCCAGGTAGGGTTAATAGTCACTTATCTGGAAAATGTAGGTAAGATCAAACATCAATTTTGGTCTAGATAGGGCTTATAATTACTTTGATTAGTGGACCTGCTTTAAAACTTTAACTGTTCCTATCCAGAAAATGAAGGTCAGATCCAGCATCTGAAGCAAGTCTAATAATGTCTATCCTTAGATGCATCATCTCTGCACATTTGGTCTTAAGGTAAGGCGTACTGTTATTGGGAATGGACCTGCTCCAAAAATTAAACTGTTCACCTATCCAGAAAGTGTATGTTACATCCAGCACCCAGAGGAAGCCTCAGGTATTGGGTACATCCCTAGATGCATCATTCTTGCAAGTTTGGTCTATGTAGGGCTTATAGTTCCTTGGGATTGGACCTGCTCTAAAAACATTAACTGTGTCACTTATCCAGAAAATGTAGGTCATACCCAGAATCAAGTCTAATACATATATTGCCCATCCCTAGATGCATCACCTTCTCCATCTTCGCTAGCCAAGGGTTTCCGATCCGAAATCTACTCTACAACCCTTGGCAGATTGTAGAGTAGATTTCGGATCGGAAACCCTTGGCTAGCGAAGATGCACCTTCTCTCATTCAAAAGTTATCACCTATGTTAGAAATTTTTAAAAGTAGGTCAAATTACAATGTAAAGGTCATGATCGAGGGAAGTGGAAAGGTCTTACACATGTAAAACATGAAAGCCCTACCTTTTCTCATTCAAAAGTTATGACCAAAGGAAAAATTTTGTGACAGACAGACAAAACGACAGACGAATGAAATTTACTATCCTCTAGCTAGCTTTCGCAAAAGCGAGGGACAAAAATAAGTCTGTTATAACTGTATAAAATAATGAAAAACAAGAACTAATAAAATAATTCTGTGAATTCAAAATCTGTTTTGTCTAATCTGAACCATGAGACTGACTCAATGAGGGTGTGTATTACATTTCTAACGACTTCACTATGAATTTTTTATAAGATTGTATGAATTTTTCATTACTGTCTGAGACGTAATTAGTTTGTGATTCATATCCTGTAAAGATGAACAGGAAGTATCAGTTCCATGGTTCACACCACCATTAGTCTCATCAGACAATACACCCTCAAGTAAAGCTAGGCTAGAACTCCCAACCAAATACTAAGAGAGATCAACTATCAAAGGAATTCCATCTCATTAATGAAACTTTTTTTCTATTATGCA